AAGGTGAGCGCAGCCCGCACCCACCCCTGTGGGTCCCCGGGACCCCCTGCCCTGGTCCCGCGCTCCCGCGCACGCGGTGCAGAGAACAGACTGTCGATCAGGAGGCCCGGGTGAGCCCTCCCTTCTTTCTCCTATTTCAGGAAGCCCAGCACGGGTTCCCCGGCTGAGCGCGGTTCTCTGTCACCCCGAACATCACCAATACCCCCACCCCACCCCCACTGCGTTTCCCTCTGGGCCAGACACTGGGCTGCCTGCGCGACGTCCCCCGCGGACTTGGCGATGTTTTTCCTGTCTGTTCAGAGCCTCTAGCCTGGTCTGCGTGTCCGCAGCTCTGCGCCCGCGGGACATCTCCGGCACAGCCAGGCAGCCGCTGCCCCCACTCTTATCTCTTTCCCTGAAGCGGGCTCTGCTCAAAGTCCCCGCCTCGTGGAACTGAGTGGGAGGACCTCGCCAAGAGGTCCAGGGAGGGGGCTCCTGGGTTAAGCAGCACCGAGAGCCGTCTGACTGTGCCAAGGCTGTCGATTCTGAGCGCCCTTTCTTTGCTGTTTTCTCGCTGAGCCTCAGCCAGGGTGTGGGCAGGGGTGAGGGCGGGGCGGGGAGGCTCGGGCGGCAGTCCCCAGTCTCTCCTTGCTCGCCTATCCTGCTCCAACTCTCCCACCCACAGGGCTTCCTGTGGCGGAGAGCAGAGGAGACGACTAGGGGTAGGGCTGCTGGAGGCTTGTGTTTCAGTCTGGCTGGTCCAGCAGATGCTTTTGGGGACGCAAGATCCCGAGACCTTCAGAGTCCCCTCGCAGTGTAGACAGACTTCTACCCGGCCTCCCCCTCAGTGAGCAGGGCCTTCCCTTTCTCCTGGCTGGCTCCAGGAGGCAGAGGTGGGGGTTTCCAGAATCCCCTCCTCCCCACCTCACATTGTTTCCCTTCACCTACAGGAGCTCTTGGAGTCCAGGCTGAGGGTCTTGAAGAAGGAACTGGAGGACTATGAGGTGTCCCGGTCCACGGAAGAGAAGGAGAGCAAGGAGCTCCTGGTGAGCCAGGCACCCCCCGGCACCCCGTGGGAGACTATAGAGGCCTAGGCAGCACCAGGGCTCAGTGTGTGTGGTGTTGGAGTGTGTGCTATGGAACCGCAGAATAGATTTCAGAAAAATAAAAGAGTGCATGTTACATAGGGCGACCATATAATTACTGTACAAACCAGAGCTTTTTAAAGTGAAAAGGTGTGCTAATTGCAAAACAACTGGCTTAAACTGGAACTGTCCCAGCGAATCAGGACATACAGTCACTCTGATATTACATAACATACCAGTTAGGGCCTGTGGAAGCATCTTGTAATTGAACACATTAATATTTCTGCAGAGAAACATGAATATTCAATAAATGGGACTATTAATACGATAAAGAGCCTCATGGGATGTTTTATCAACAAAAGAGTAGTGAAAAAATTTTCGTTTTCAGAGTTTTTTTATTTGAAATTGAGGCTAAGGGAGAAGGGGCTGGAGGGTGTCAGCTGCTTCATGGCTCTGGCACAGTGAGGCAGTTTGGGGTCTTGAGTTGACAGTAGCCCCTGCTGCACAGCCCAGGGTCTTGCATACTGGCATCTGCCTCTACCCCAAGTTGGAATGATATTTTATCTTCCTTAGAGTAGAACAGGAAAGTGAAATGGGGACTAATTTTGGTTAAGATAAGCAAACATGAATCACCATCGGTCATTTTCTACCTCGCAAATTCAGTTCCTAGCTCAGTAAATAAGTGTTGAAAGAAGGAAAGGATTGGCTGAATGCCACGGCTCACCGCCTGTAATCCCAGCACTTTGGGAGGCCCAGGCGGGCGGATCACCTGAGGTTGGGAGTTCCACACCAGCCTGACCAACATGGAGAAACCCCCATCGCCACTAAAAATACAAAATTAGCCGGGTGTGGTGGCGCATTGCCTGTAATCCCAGCTACTCGGGAGGGTGAGGCAGAAGAATAGCTTGAACCTGGGAGGTAGAGGTTGCAGTGAGCCAAGATCACGCCACTGCACTCCGGCCTGGGCAACAAGAGTGAAAATCCATCAAAAAAAAAAAAGAATGAAAGGATCTACTAGGGCCTGTCAAAGCAGGGAATTGGAGGAAGGTGAACTAGAGGACCCTCCCATCCTCAATGTCAGGAGAGGTGGAGAAGGAGCCTGGAGTTCAGACACCCTAGGGTCCTTTCCAGACCCTCAACTATATCTGTGGTGCCTGCATCCAGCGTGCATCCCAGACCTTCCCACCCACTCACTCACTTCCCTCCATGATGAAGAGCTCGTCCTCCAGACCTTCGTCCCTCCTCCCTCCAGACCTTCGTCCCTCCTCCCTCCAGACCTTCGTCCCTCCTCCCTCCAGACCTTCGTCCCTCCTCCGCTGGAGAAACAACTTCCAGTGCAGCTCTTCCGCCACTGGTTGACATCCAGGCACCAGAGGGCCTTCCCAGGCACCGGTGGCAGCTTCACGGTCTCTGACCGGAGTCCCCAGGCCTTGCTTAACACCTTCCACCTGTGTCCGCTCCCAACATCCATCCATCACCCCCACATTCGTTTTTGTTGTTGTTTTGTTTTGCTTTTACATAGAGTCTTGCTTTGTCACTAAGGCTGGAGTAGTTCAAGCGACCCCCCCACTTCAGCCTCCTGAGCAGCTGGGACTACAGGTGTGCACCACTCCACCTGGCTAATTTTTCATTTATTTTTCGTAGAGCTGGGGTTGGGGGTAGTCTCCTATGTTGCCCAGGCTGGTCTGGAACTCGTGGGCTCAAGCAACCTCCTCCCCTAACTTCGCCCCCCCCCAGCCTCCCAAAGTGCTGAGATTACAGGTGTGAGCTCCACCTCTTCTTTACAGTGAGAAAATACTTCTGTGATTTACGATGCTCGTATCATTTAAATACTCTGCTTAATGAAACATCAGAGGTAGAGTCCAACTATTGCTGCAACATAAAAGGGAGCAGGAATACTCTTATTTGAAAATACTCCTACCCCAGGGGACATCTGGCAAAGTCTGGAGATACTATATTTCTGGTTGTCAACAGTGGGATACGGATGCTATTGGCATTTAGTGGTAGAGGCCAGAGGGGCTGCTAAACATCCTATGAGGCGCAGGACAGCCCCCCCACAACCAAGGAGTATCTGGCCCAGAATGTCACCTGCGTTAAGGTTGGGAAACCCTGGTGTAGAGTGTTTTGGTAAATACTGTTTCACTTGTTATTTCCTCGTGAGGCAATATGACGTAGCTGCCAGAAGCTCAGATTCTAGGTTCTGGCTCCCTGGCCTAGAAGCCTGGCTTACCACTTCCCGGTGATGTGTCTGTCTTTGTCTCCTCACCTGAAAGACTTCGGGGGAAGTGCACCCACCTCACTGGGCTGCCGTCAGGGTTGAGGGAGTTAATACCTATAAGGCTCTCCGGGCTACTGCAGCCTGCCTGGAAGCTGAAGGAAAGGTGGGGGCATTGTGCGACACCTGAACCCAGGTCTCCCAGCTTCCCGGGACTCCCTTCCTCCGCCCAGGAGTTTTAAGGAAGAGAAACTTCCTGGTGGGACATACTGAGCACCACACGTGTGTTCCTATAAAAAATTAAGAGATCAGGGCATGAGTCTGCATCTGAAAACTCGAGTAAAAAATCCCGTGTATGCTGTTAACGGAAAGAATAGAATATCAAGCTTGCACACAGCATATTCTCACTTAGTTCCTTGGAGGTGAGCTGCTACCTCTGGTCACTGGCATCGGACTTTTCTTCCTTCTTTCTACTTTCCTACATCTCCCAAGTTTTGTATTTTGAGCATGTGTTACCATTATAACTGCTAAACAGGGAAGATGTCCTTTAAAAACAAAGTGAAGAGTAACAGTTTGAGGGTGATGAAATTAACGTGCTTAAGGAGGAAAAGGCAATCTCAGTTTAATCCTATGGTTGCCCCAGGAGGCACTAATTTATCCCTTCTGCTTTTCAAGTGAGGAAACTGCCACTTGGTGTAGTTCTGGGGGGAGTATGATGCTGCCTTGGTTTAGGTGGTGGAGCACAGGTCCACAGACACGCGTGGGCACATCTGTGGCAAGGGAGAAAAGAGCATGTGTTGAGACTACAGCTTGTTCGGAGCTGGGACATTGAAAATAGAGCATGCACTGCCTGCATAGGTGGGTGTGTCTCTGATCCCCCAGCAGTGACAGGGATGAAGCCTTGCCCTATGGGATGACTCAGGCCACTGGCCAAATGTTATGTCTCCATGCTCAAGTCCCCTACCTCTCCAATTCTCCTCCTGGGACAGAAGCAGATGGCAGCGGAGCAGGAGAAGGTGGGGGCAGAGTTCCAGGCGCTGAGGGCCTTCCTAGTGGAGCAGGAGGGCCGGCTGCTAAGCCGCCTGGAGGAACTGTCCCGCGAGGTGGCACAGAAGCAGAATGAGAATCTGGCCCAGCTCGGTGCTGAGATCACCCAGCTGTCCAAGCTCAGCAGCCAGATCCAGGAGACAGCTCAAAAGCCTGACCTTGACTTTCTCCAGGTAAGTCTGGCTCAGCCAGAGGCTCAAGTCATTTGTCCGAAAGCATCAGGACCGGCAGCTAGAGGACAGTATCAGTCCTGGGGGTTCAGGAGAATCACACGATCTGGAGCTGAAGGGGACTAGAGGGAAGTGCCCTGATTTTCCTGGGGTTGGAGGTCTAGAGGGATGTGATAACACTTTCTTGACCATGAGCCACAATAATATATATCGTATTTCAGAATCGCATGCTTGAGACAAAAGTCTCAGAAGATAATACTCACCTTTGCTACACGTATGCACTTTGATGTTTTCTATTCTATTTCACTAAAAAAAAAAGTTATAAACCACTAGATAAACTTCACAATCCACAGATGGGTTAATAACAGTCACTACTGGGCTGAGTGAGCAGGAGGTGCATAAGGGCTGTGACCTCCCTCAGGTGGTTTCCAGGACACAGACAGCACTGGGTCCCATGGGATAGCTCCAGTGATGATTCTGTAATAAAGAAAGCAGCAAAGATAGAAAGAAAGCATGCGAAGAGCTGTGGCAAAGGGTGAGAGGTCCACTGTGTGGATGAGACACCCCGCAGCCAGCAGCCACTGCAAGCTGCTGTCACCTAAGTCCATGCAGGCAGTGAGGCATGGCACACCTGCTTACCGCTTACATCTTGGAGGCACAGCAAGGGGCAAGCTTTGTTCCTCAGAGGTGAATGGAGGTTACCTGATGCTGATTTGGTTTCCTCTATCTTTCCTTCCAGGAATTCAAAAGCACGCTGAGCAGGTGAGTGACCTCACAGCTCCTGGGGCCTCTCTAAGTTGCCTCTTCTCTTTTCACTGAGCCTTCTCTTTATTTCCTGTCCCCTGACCTCTCACCTCCTGATCCCCCGACTTGCTTGCCGGGGACCTTCTGAGACGAATGCCCACCTGCCTGGCCATGGGTTTTCCTGCATGAGGTCCGGCTCTCCCTTTTCTACCTCTTTCCGCCAAGACGACCTCGCCATCCTAATTGTCACAGCCTGTGGGAGTAAAACTGTGCAGACAGGCCCTTCTCAGAGCCCTTGTCCTGCAGGTGTAGCAATGTGCCTGGCCCCAAGCCAACCACAGTCTCTTCTGAGATGAAGAATAAAGTCTGGAATGTTTCTCTCAAGACCTTTGTCTTAAAAGGGATGCTGAAGAAGTTCAAAGGTAGGGGCCTGGGCGCTGAGCTGGGCCACGTAGTGCGGTGGTGGTGGAGGGTTCCTGGTAGCTCAGGGGTCCCTGGGTGTGTTTTCCAGAAGCTGTGTGTGAAAATATGAGCTGGCTGTGCCATGGCCAGACTGGTGTAGGGGCTGTGGTGGCAAATCTAGTCAGGTCCCCGCAGGGCATGCAGCTTCTCATGGGGACAGATGGGGTAGAGGGGTCCTGCTGGGGGACTGGGGGTAGGAAGAGGGATATGCAGGGGAGCTGAGCTCAGAGCCACTCAGGTAGAACTAGAATGCTTGGGTATAGGCTCCCTGCCCCCGGCTCCCCATGCTTGGCCTTAGGAGTCTCTGGGGAATGAATGAGTCAGCTGGGCTATAAAGAGCTGGTGACCTTGCCATGTAATCTCCCATATCGCTCATGCATGCCTTGCTTTGTTTCTCCTCCTCAGAGGACCTTCGGGGAGAGCTGGAGAAAGAGGAGAAAGGTAGGGATGGTGCTGTGATGGCCACATGGAGAACCTACTCCCTGCTGGTGACCATCTCAGGGTTTTGCATATGGTCGGTGCCTTCCACCCACCCACCTCGGCAACCCTGTTCCTCTGTCCCCTCCCTCATGCCACCCCCTCCCCATCCTGGGAGCTCCAACACCCTCAGATGGCAGTGGGACCTGTTGGCCCAAACGCTGCAGGTCGGTTAGGAGCAGGAATGCCCTGTACCTGGAGATACTCAGACTGGGAAAGGCTTCTCGGCCACCTGGGTGAGCCTCTGCCCAGTCCCCACTCCAAGACGGACGGAAACCTCTCCTGGCGATGGGGTGCATACAGGGGACCAGGAAAGCAAGGGGAAGCTAAAGACTGGAAGGAATATTGTTCTTACTCTTGCAGAGCTCTAGAGTGTGTGGGATCCAACACCCAGGGGAGGGAAGGGAGGGGAGGGCACATATTCTGATGCTGATGTCCGAGCTAAATCAGAGTGTGCCTGGGTGCCACCTAAACCACCTGAATGAGACCAGACCTTCCTCTGCTCAGAGCCCTGCCACAGCCCCTCTGACCTGTTAAAGGTCAGAGTCCTCATGGTGGTCTCAAGGGCCCAAGGGATCTGGCCTCATTGCACACCCCTTCTACTCCATGCAGCTACACATCCTCCTTGCTGTTCCTTCAGCGTACCAAGCACACACCCATCCCAGGCCCTTTGCACTGCCAGGCTCCCCCACCCCAGCCCCCTACCTGGAACATGCTTTCCCCAGCCAGTCGCGTGGCCCACTTCATTGCCTTCTTTATATGTCTGCTCAATGCCCCTTTGCAGTGAGGGTCTTCCCTGGCCACTCTGGTTGAAGTTACAGCCTGCTCTTCTGGTTCCTCTCGTCTTCTATGTTTACAATCTATCCTTAATCCTCCCCCTGTGGGAAGGAAGCTGCAGGCAGGCAAGACTATCTGATACTCTGTGGTATCCCCTTACTGTACATATTTTAAGTTTTTATTTTTGGAGACAAGGTATCGCTTTGTTGCCCAGGGTGGAGTGCAGTGGAACTGCAGCCTCGACCGGCCAAGCTCAAGTGATCCTCTGTCCTCAGCGTCCTCAAGTAGCAGGGACTACAGGAGCACACCACCATGCCTGGCTAAATGTTCTATGATTTGTGGAGACAGGTATCTCACTGTATTGCCCAGGCTGGTCTCCAACACCTGGGCTCAAGCTATCTTCCCACCTCTGCTTCCCAAAGTGCCAGGATTACAAGCATGGGCCTCTATACCTGGCCTTAACTTTCTATTATGAAAAATTTCTAACATACTCAAAAGTAGAGAGAAGAGTGTAAAGAAGGTTACATACCCGTCTCTCACCTTCAGCAGTGATCAATTAGTGGCCATAGTTTTCATAGACACTGCTATCCACTTCTTATGGGATTATTTCATTTTCTGAGACAGGGTCTTGCTCTGGAGTAAGATCCTGGAGTACAGTGGCCTGATCGCCGCTCACTGCAACCTCTGCCTCCTGGGTTCAAGCGATTCTCATGCCTCAGCCTTCCAAACAGCTGGAATTACAGGCACAGGACACCGCACTGGGCAAATTTTTGTATTTTTAGTAGAGAAAATACAAAACAAGTTTTCTGCCATGTTGGCCAAGCTGGTCCCAAACTCCTGACCTCATGTGATCCATCGGCCTCGGCCTCCCAAAATGCTGGGATTACAAGCGTGAGTCAAGGCACCCGGCCCTATCGTATTTTATTTATTTATTTATTTATTTATTTATTTATATTTTGAGATGGAGTCTCGCTCTGTTGCCCAGGCTGGAGTGCATTGGTGAGATCTGGCTCACTGCAAGCTCCACCTCCCGGGCCCAGGCCATTCTCCTGCCTTGGCCTCCCGAGTAGCTGGAACTACAGGCACCCACCACTACGCCTGGCTAATTTTTTTTTTTTTTTTTTTTTAGTAGACACGGGGTTTCACGGTGTTAGCCAGGATGGTCTCGATTTCCTGAACTGGTGATCTGTCTGCCTTGGCCTCCCAAAGTGCTGGGATTACAGGCTTGAGCCACCGCACCCGGCCTACTGTATTATTTTAAAGCATCAGAGTCAACATATTATTGACATAAATACCTCAGTGTATTATCTCTAAAGAAACAGACTTTGTAAAACATAATCACAAAGCAGTCATCACACCTGGACAGATTAATGATTCTTTCCAATGTCTAGCATTCAAATATCCCCATCTCTTTGAATTGGGGTTCAGATCAGGCCCACCTATTGCATTTGTTTGATTTCAGTAAGTACTTGTTGAGTGGTCGGGGAGGGGGGAAGCAAAATATCTGGGATGCAGAGCATGGGGGTTGGTTGGGCCTTGGCGCTGCGTGCTGGATGGATTCCAGAGGGAAAGTCAGGCAGGTTGCAAAGCAAGGTCGGGCGCGGCCCTGCAAAGAGTATGCCAGCGGCCTGCCTGCGTGGGGACATTTCTCCCTGTCTCTGTCTGCAGTGGAGCTCACCTTGGATCCCGACACAGCCAACCCGCGCCTCATCCTCTCTCTGGATCTTAAGAGCGTGCGCCTCGGCGAGCGGGCCCAGGAGCTGCCCAACCACCCCCGCCGCTTCGACACCAACACCCGCGTCCTGGCGTCCTGCGGCTTCTCCTCGGGCCGGCATCACTGGGAGGTGGAGGTGGGCTCTAAGGACGGCTGGGCCTTTGGTGTGGCCCGCGAGAGCGTGCGCCGAAAGGGCCTGACGCCCTTCACCCCCGAGGAGGGCGTCTGGGCCCTGCAGCTCAACGGCGGCCAGTACTGGGCCGTGACCAGCCCCGAGCGTTCGCCCCTCAGCTGCGGGCACCTGTCGCGCGTGCGGGTGGCCCTGGACCTCGAGGTGGGAGCCGTGTCCTTCTACGCCGTGGAGGACATGCGCCACCTCTACACCTTCCGCGTCAACTTCCAGGAGCGCGTGTTCCCGCTTTTCTCTGTTTGCTCCACTGGCACCTACTTGCGAATCTGGCCTTGAGGGACACTGCTGGGGAGCTCCTGTCTCTGGACTGCCGATGGGAAGGGATGTCACCTCCCCAGAGCTGCCTAGTCCGTCTTGGGTCTGCCCTCCGTGCTCCTGACTGACCCCGGCTGCCCAAGAGAGGCTGCTATAGACACAACCCCGAGGCAGCAGAGTGAGGCTGTGGCCAACTGAGCAGGGACAGGGGCCTTGGCCTCCTGGGGGTGTTCCCTTCCTGAGGTCACACGTGGATTTGGCCAGAGCCTTCAGGAGGTGGAGGCTGGTGAGGTCAGGAGCCCAGCTCTCCACGGGGCTTCTGCCCTGACTGGGAAGGGCTCTGGCTCCCTAAAACAATGTCAAAGCCAGTCCTGCTGTTCTCTGTTGCCAGGGGACAGGTCTGGGCCCACCTCAACCAGGTTCCTTATCATGGCTGCTGCCTTCTGGACAGCTTCCAGCGCTGCCTTGAGAGGTTGTGGGACCTCTGGATCCAGCTGGCCTGACAGGTCAGCTACTCAGGGAGGAGCCCTGTGCTCCCAGCTCAGAGGACAGTCCCGGCCAAACCTGGAAGGAGACCCTTGGCCGTCTTTGAGGGAGAAGCCCGGGACAATGGGCATCACAGCTCTCCAGCACTCCTTAGCCGGAGGATACAGAGTGATGGGTGCTTCCTGACCAAAGCAACAACCCAAATGTGCTCCCACAAACACCTGACTCCCCCACTTTCCAGTGCCAAAGTACAAACTCTGCTTGGAGAAGGACAGCAAAGCTTCTGGAACTTTGTTCTTTTTAATTTTTTTTTTTAAGAGACTGGGTCTTGCTATGTTGCCCAGGCTGGTCTTGAACTCCTGGCCTCAAGTGATCCTCTAGTCTCCATCTCCCTAAGGGCTGGGATTACAGGTGTGAGCTGCTGTACCCAAACTTTTTTTGTTTTGTTTTTGCTTCTGGAACTTTGAAACATAAAACACAAGTTGGCACTTACAATTTTAAAGATGCAGCCAGCTCTAAATGCACAGAGCACAAACATGATCCTGACAGACTGGGAAAAATGCCAACTGCAGAGCACCCTGGTGCCAAGGCCTTCTCAGCCCATGCCCTGAAGGGCATTCCTCTGGCCAGCCTCAGCCCCTTGTCTACTTGTTCTCCAGCTTCTGGATAGCTGGGCTTCTGGAAGGGTGGCAGTGGGCTGCTCCCTGCTCAGCACTGCCCTGGGAAGGGAGTGAGGGGATGAAAATGAAGACTGTGAGCTGTCTTTATAGTTGGCTTGGCTCATTTTCTACTCCCTGGATCCGAGCACAGGAGCATAAGTGTGAGCCAGGGTTTCTGCCAGAGTGAATGAGCAGGCATGTTTATATACGGAAGGAGTGTGCATTTGTATCTCACCTTTCCTGGGTGGGGGGTGTGTGTGTGTGTGTATTTTGGAGAGGGCATTTATGAGCATGTGCATAAGGTTCAGGTGTTGCAAAGAGACCCAAGTCAGTTTGATCATACCCTATTGTTGATTTGTTGTTAAATATTAATCACCTCGTATTTAGACAAGGGCCACAGGCTTCTTCCCTCGCTACCTGGCTACCAGGTTGGATGAACAGAATACCAGACTCGGACCTAATTCTATCCCGCACAGCTTATGTAGACAGAGGTGTTGGCAAGCAGGGGCGATGATAGCTGAATAGCCCTGTGACATGGAGCTTCAGTGCTGTCTCTGAGATGCTTCAAGCCCACTTTGCACATAAGGTTCTCATGGGGCAGGCACGACACTATCCGAGGCAGGCCCAGTTGACACAGCACCAGACAATCAGAATACTATATCCTCCAGGCTGAGGACAGGGTCGTTTCAAAGTCCTGCGCACAGAAGCATTCCAGAGAGTGAATTCTATGTTCTGCTCATACATGGAGAGCAACTCTAAAACCTGGTAGCCAGTTCAGGCATTTGAATACCACTGATTTCCACAAGGAAAACCAATCTCTAACATTAATCTCCTAACTAAATCGCCTATTGTTACCGTTGAGCCCTAATGTTATCTGGCTTGTACGGCTTTTTGATTAAGTATCATAATTCCCTTTGTACCATCCCACAAATGTGCTGGGCATCACAACACACATTACAGGTCCCAGAAAGTACAATGTCTGGGGGGAGGCGTCACACGAGGGTCAGGTCTGGGGACTGGGAGTAGCTGTCCACATGTTTATTTTCCGTTTCTGTGTCCATGAGTGCAATCGTGTGTCTCTCAGAGTGTGCGTTTGCAGAGTAACTACATACGTATCTATATATCTGAAGAAACGTAACAACAGTTACTGACTGTACCAATTGCCTATAGAAGGGAAGAGATGTTCTTTCTTGGTAACCAGGGCAGTGCAGTAACTTGGATGTCAGGATGCTGGTGTCCTCGAGGGCGCGTGTGTGCATTTCCCTCTCCTAGACTCAGGGCATCATAAACTCTATAGAGACCTCTGGGTCTGTGAGAACAACTGGCCTAACTTGGGCCCTTCTTATTCACCCATCAGTCCTAGCTGCTGAGCCACAAGCCCAGGCCTCTGCCGCCAAACCTTTACAGGGACCCTCAGCATCCAGACTGGGGGGCACCTAGGGGCCTGCCTCTGGGCGCCCAGTGACCCAAGTCACCCGGCCTTGCAGGGAGCATAGGGCAGGGTAGGCCACCAGACCAGGGTCCACCTCCGACACCCACCACTTTCTGTCCTTTGCCAGGCTGGGCCCTCATCCTTCTCCCCTCTCCTCCCTTGGGCCCTGAGAGAACATGTCAGGGTGTGCCCTAAAAGCTGCATTTTCCTAATTCATCCAAATATGAGACAGGGGCTAGCACCCACCCCCAACCTCGCCTGGACCCTTCCGACCCCAGCGCCTCCAAACACCTGGCCGTCCAGATTCCCCGCCCCCGTCGTCGGCCTCCACCTCCTGTTGCCCCCACCACTCCCCCACCACCCAGCTCGCCCCAGGTCCCGCCCGAACCTCTCGGACCTGGACACCCTGCAGGACGGGCGCACTGACACCATTCCCTGACCTTTCCATAGCCTTGACCTGGAGCCCCGCTTCCTCATGCACAGCGAGACGCAAAACGTGCTCCCCAATCCTGCGCACGCCCCTCCCCGCCCCCCAGCCCCGCCCAAGACCCGGGGCGCTCCTCACAGCTCCGAGCTCGGCGGTACCGCCCCGCCCTGACAGCTCCCGCCAGCGCGCGCGCCCAACGCCGGAACAGTCTCCGCGGAGCTCCCTCCAGGGACTAACGGCCGTTTCGCGCCACTGACACATGGGCAAGATGGCTGCGGCCGGGGGAGGAGCTTGGATTCAGCCGCCACCGAACTTGGCCGGGGATTCAGCGGACTGCGGCTGCGTGGCGCCGGCGGAAGCGTCAACTATTTGTCTGCGAAAGAGAAGCTCGCAGCTGGCTCCATAGCTCAGGGGTTAGAGCACTGGTCTTGTAAACCAGGGGTCGCGAGTTCAAATCTCGCTGGGGCCTGTTTGTGTTTTCCTCCCCCCCCATTTTTTCCTTAAAAAAATGTGGAAGATATACAAGTCTACTTCCGCCTTCCTGAGAAGCCAGACCCTGGCAGAGTCACTTTCTCTTTGCCTCTAAGATACTCGCCGCGCAAGGCTACTTGCCTACCATTTCCTTCTCTCTTGAAGAGTCAGACCCACTGCGGGCTTCCTTTTCCATCACGGGTTCCCCGGGCCCCGCGCGCCCTCTCCCCACGACCCCGCTCGCTTCTGTCTGCGCGCGCTCTCCGGTGCGTCTTTCCGCTCCCCTCAGGTCTTCCCACTCCAGCTAGGGACTCGACCTCGCGTCTCCTTCCCTCTCTCAGGGGGAGACGATGGCACCGCCGCGCCCCTTCCCGCCCCGCGTTTGTTTGCGGCGTTCCCCCACGCGCGCGCTGAGGCTCTGGTCTGCTGCTCTGCGCTTGGCGGCTGCGAGCCCTCGGCGTTCGGGTCCCCGCCGCCTCCCTGCTGCAAACTCTGACTTCTTCCTGTGGAGTTAACACAGAAAAGCGCAGACGGCCACATTCATGGCCCGGGACTAACGGCTCTACCTGTCACATTCGCTTTCAGCCTTAAACAAAATTAGTTTATTGTAAACAAAATATATAACTAAGGTATGCTGGCCTTCTGATTTATTCCTGCTGTTACCGGAAGTGTAGAAAGTGAGCCCATGTTCTCAGTGAAGAGTGGGGCCGCAGCCCAGGCGCAGGACGGGCCCCCGGGGGTCTCGGGACGGCTCCCGCCTGCGTCTTCCCCGCACCGCGCGCTTTGGAGGCCTGGGCACCGGCGGAGGCGGGACTGGGTCCCGCCGCACACTCCCCTGTCGCAGGCGCCCTCTCTCCAGCCGGAGGGGACCTCAAAAAGCCCTGAGCGAGTCCCCGTTCCACGTAGGGCCGCGGCTTATACGGGGACCACTTCAGGGTTCGAAAACGGAACCCCGGCCCGGTGCACCAGAGAAGAGAAAATCGCTCGCGGCCACCTGGGTAGAGACCCTTGACTGGGAGGCGTGGAGGAGCGAGCGGGGTCTGCGGCTCCGGCCAGCAGGTGCGCGCTTCCCTCTCTCACCCACGCCGGCTCCGGTCCAAAGAGCCGAGCCTGTGGGTCCAGACCGGGACGGATTCGCTGGGACAGGCCAGGAGCCCGCCAGCACATGCGGGCACTCGCGCGCCCGGGGCTCCTCGGACTCGTCGACCCCGAAACGCCTGCCCCACAGGAAGATCACCCCACTGTAGAAGTCGGGTCACGGGGACCAGCGGCGAGCTACCTGAGGGCTTGACTGCAAACACCCTCCCGACGAAAACCGTGGACTCCCGGGGTGCGAGCGTGTGACCGTGTGTGGGGGTGTTGGCAGACGGTCCCCATAGTAATCGAACAACCAGGTGGAAGAACCTCAGGCCTCGCACTCTGGGGCTCTCAGAGTCTGGGCGTTGCAGCCGCTCCCATACACCCCCGGGTCACCTGGCTGAATCCGGTGGGAGCTGCTGAGGTGCCGGGAGGTCTCCCAGGCTGGCGCTCCCGTCCAGCTGCTGGTGGAGGCGCGGGTGCGAGGCTTGGGACAAGGGAGAGCTATGCCGGGTGGGGCAGACCCTTGGGGCGGGTCGGTTCACCCGAAATGTTCACTGTGGGAAGAGCCGAAAGCCAGCCACGGCACCAGGAGAGTCCAGCGTGGAGAGGCAGAGAGGAAGGGCGAGTGCGGCGGCGCTCGCAGACGGCGGAGCAAGATCGTCGGGAGTGCGAATGGAACAGGGACATGGTTTCCTCGGAGTCGCTTAACCACCATCCCATGCTGTTTTACAGCAGTGTAGGAAATGTCTCTGCTGGTGACACAAAAATAAACCTGTGGCTCAGCTCTGAGTAGATTATCGCGAATTTTACAGCAGGAGATCCGTATCGCTATTTTTACTACTAAATAAACCAGTGCAATTAAAGCGCGCAGGGCGAGAGTAGGTTGTGGCGAGCGCAGAGGAGCGCGCCCGCCCAGGCTTGCCCTGAGGGCGGCGAGGGCTGTGAGCCAGGACCCCGGGCCCTGCACCGCGGGAGCGCGCGCGCGTGGGTCCAGCCTCCTAGCTGTGCGACAACCCGGTGGCCAAAGTCACCACGAGAAGACAGAGTTCCCGGTCATCGGTCGTTTCTGCCTTACACTTTCCTACATTTCCTGAACATTTTGCAAATGGGTATGTACTGCTTATTATCTTTTCATAAAACGCTAAGAGCCGCTTCTCGGGGCTCCTCACCCAACTGGTTCGGCGTTCCCTCCCAGCACTGCGCTCTCTCCCGAGCCCTCCGGCTCTGCCAACCTCTGCGTCCTGCGCCTGGGCCTCAAGATTTGCACCTTTCTTGAACTCCCTTGGGAAGGGGCGCCCAGGCTGCAGAACGGATGGACGCCCCTGCCTGCTACTCGAGTGGATCCAGCAGGGAGGCGCTCACTCGGATTCCAGGAGACCAGAGGAGACAGGGCATACGGAGCGTTTACCCTGTGTGGAGCTACCGGCGGCTGAGAATTAGCGGCAGACGCGGAGATGGGCAGCGGGGACAGGCTGGGCTTGGGAGACTGTAAGACTTTTGAGAATGGTTTCGAGCTGCCAGAAAGAAATCCGCCTTTTCGGTGAATTGATCCATGAAGAACACAATCTTGGAAATATTCAGTAGGTTCGTTAACAGCCGGCTCGTTGGTCTAGGGGTATGATTCTCGCTTTGGGTGCGAGAGGTCCCGGGTTCAAATCCCGGACGAGCCCAGTTTTTGTTTTTTTCATTTCAACTAA